GAAAATGTCACGCATGGATTCCAGGAACATTTTTAAGTGATTTATCAAATGGTTTTAGGATTCGCACGCTTTCTGACTAATTAATTTCCATGTTTTCTTTTGTTTTCTCCAGTCGGATTGACTGGGAAAGAAAAAAAAATTAACAAATCACACTCAAAGGTATTTCTTGCTGAAGAAATAGTTTAAAACTGAGCATAAGTAGAAAAGATTACATTGACTATATTGTATTGACTTTTCCTTTTATACTATAAATTAATGTATTAAAATAATATTGCTATTATTAAAATTGAGCATAAGAAAAATGTATACTGAGTTCAGAGTATTGGACTTTTCCTTGTATATTTTAAATATATGAAAATATGCTATTATTAAAATGAATTATTAATATCATTAATTAAAAACAAATAGTTTAAAAATGAGCATAACTAGGAACATTTATATTGACTGTAGAAATACTTTTTTTACTTTTATATTTTCAATTAATCCATTAAAACAATATTGTTTTAGTAGTGATAATTATTACTTATTAATATGACTACTATTAATTAAAGAGAAGTTTAAACTGAGCATAGCAAGAAACATTTAAACTGACTATAGAAAATTTCAAGACTTTTCCTTTTAGTGCTAATTAATATATTTTAAAAAATGTTTTGCTATTAATAGTATTAATGATTTTTATCAATAATAGTACTATTACTATAGTACTTGATATTGTCAATAAAATTTCTTTAAATTTTTCCAGGCCTCAAATCTCACTTCTGAAAGTGTAGCGCCTGTAGCTGAACTGGTTCACTGAATCGACTCATCTGAGCGAACTGAATCGGTATGAGTTTGTATGAGTGAGACTGTGCTGTAGCACCTGGGCTTTCCGTGTGTCCGTCAGCAGGATGGAGGCGTTCTCCTCCAGAGGACAGGAGGTCAGGGTTACCAATGGCGCTCATGTATCTGCTGTACCACTCGTTACGCTCGCCCACCAGACGCATGACCAGATCCTGCAGCTCCGCTAGCTTCGCCTGAACACACACACACACACACAGGTCAACATCACGCCACAGATGTCACTCCATCTAGACATGTGCCGGTATTCAGTAATGCGATATATCACGATAATGAATATGCACGATACTGTTATCTTGGGCACTTACAAATTATTCAGAATTTTGAATGCATTTTAAGAATAGTTTCCCATCGACTGGTCACCAGTAGGTTTCCGAAGAGCGTTTTTGAAGCCTAAAGTAGGCGGAGCCGGCTGTCGCCATCTTGGCAGCACGTCACTCCCGGATAATCAAAAATGGGCAAAGAGGCGAGAGCTCAATGGCGGTGACAACAGCGCAATCCACCCGTCACTCAAGTGGCCACGCCCTTAATTATGCAGAACTTAAAGGCTTAATATAATTTAAACGGATGAGTTATAAAAAAAA